TAGAAACAATACATGTTTAAAAACGTTTCAATGTCATGAATGTAAAAAACTTACTAGTTTTATAATTGCGAAAGTTTGAATAGATGGATGAAATAATGTTTGTTAGAGTTTAGAGTTTATAGTAGACGACAGGCCGGAAGAACACACAGCCTTCTTTCTTTTGTTTTTTTTAATTTGCGCGGACGGAGTCACGGGCGAAAGCTAGTACAGCATATGGACAATAATAAAAATTTATTGTTTTGTTTAAGTTTATGCGTCAACGACTATAAAACAGTAAATTGATTGCTAAAGAAACTATCTTGAATAGCAGCATTTTCGTAGTAATGTTCGGTCTAGACTAACCCTACCGGCCCTTTTCTCTCATCGTAGGTTATATTTAGCGCATTCATCAGTCGGTGTGACGAGTGGGGAAGGCTTCAAACGTTTCAGTGCAAGTGATGTTCAGGCGGGGAGAGCGGGCGGCCGGGGGCAGACGGGGGGAAGTGGGGAGCTGTGTGGGAGGCAGTAGTAGGAATATCCTTCACCCCGCGCTAGGTCAGGGTTAACATCACCCCCGGCCCGTGACGGTGAGCCCCCGACCTTGGATTCGATGCGTGTTAATGCACTTGCAACTCTGCCCACCTCACCTCATCGCCTTATCCCCACCCTGCCTGGCGGGCGACATTCACATTGCTGCTTTACTCGTTATACTAAACGTTTACACCGGAATTACGTACAATCTTAGATTTATTAAATCTTTGCAAACAGATTGTTATAAGAAAAGACTTATGGGATGGACTAATAACTAGTATAGCATTGTTCATCTTTATCTATACTGGAATATCCCAGTGAGTAACAAAGTATGTTATATCGATTATAAGTCGTGAATAATAGATAGCCTCGAAGCAAAAAGAATCCAAAGTACATGAGAACATGCGTGGCCGGTATCCAAATACCGATATACTCTGCGCAGAGCACGTCCCCAGCCTTATGACCATCGTGTTAAAGCAGATAATTCATACAACTATTCGCGAACTTAAGAGATGGCTTGCACTCGATAAAGACTCTTTTTAACTTATTTATTAGGTTCCAAATTGTATGACTCAAGTGTTTTCTAGAGTGTAGTATGATGAGATATTTTGGACCTTACTTTTTATGAACTAAGATTCATATTTGCGCATCTAAGAGAGGTGGACAGTGAGTCAATACGAGACGGGCGCGTGTGGATCGATAGAGGGTAGGGCCGCGGTCCGTCGTTGTCGCCTTGTATCGTTAATACAGCACAATATCAGCTCATCTTTTAATTTACGATCTAAACATACTGTTATGCGTAATTTATACGTAAAATTTATAAACTTCGTTATTTAAAAAAAAATCAATTCTAATAATTTGGTAGAAGTCCAGTCTTAACAATTATGTTACTGATTCCATCTGTCTTTGGACATAACAATTTAAAAAATCCTTTACAGTTTAGCTTATTTGTAAAAATAATGTTATTTTTAACACGCTCATTGCGTAACAGGCCGATATCAGCCTGACGCGGTACTTAGGCTGGTGCGGACGACGAAAACTATGTCCCTCTCGCTAATGCGAAACGATTAACTCAGGTGTATACATTACATAAAATGTATACATTGTTTCCACAAAGTTATAGCAAATTAATCTATCCTTTGGTGGGTCGAGAAAGACCTGCCACGCACTAGCGGAAATATCATTGAGGACGCATTTTGGCCCGCCGCCGCACCAAATGAAGAAATATGATTTTACTTGAAGCAGTAAACATGTTAACAAGTTATATTAAGTAACATAAAAGTTCGTATCAGTTAGGTTGGCAACGCCCCAGAGCTGTGTATTGATCATACATCGCTTGTTGTTAAAAGGTCGTCAGTAGATAGTTCCATTTTCTTAATAGTCTTATGAAAGCATCATTTTTCATCGGTACGGTATCGTTTTACATATCTTATCTAATTATCTACTAGTTAATCGATTTATGCGTATTTATATCAAAACGGATAATTCTATAATTTCAGGGTTTTTTGTTTTTAATAAACGATATACTAAAAGATAAAACTTGATAATAAAAGGACATCCGCAAAAAATTTAGTATAATCAAGTATTTAAAAGTACAATGTTTAAAAAAAGAAGAAAAAACAATAATATATATCTGAAAACATAAATTAAAATACGTATTTAGATTATTTTAAATGTTATAGTAAATTAAATTAAACGTATTCAATTTTTATTATTGAAAATTCGTTTATTTATGATTGTTTATCTCATAGTAAAAAAACTCGTAACACTTTTGTGCGTTTCTGTATTTTTATTTTTAATATAGACATCAAAGTCCAAGACTATCTAAAACTACTGATAAAACATAATGCGAAGATAATTTTATCGATTTAATCAACAAAATTATCTATTACGGTAATAGTCTTTATCCATTGGTAACAAAATAAAAAACATACTTATATGAGAAGAAAGAGATCACATTTAGCGGATCACCTCTTATTAAAACTCTTATGCCACTAAATGCGACCGCTGTTTGTAGAGCAATGTTTGAGGAAGAAATGAGGAATGGTAGCTTGGTGAAAATAAGATTGAGTAACTCATCAGCTACACTCTTAACATATACAAAACTACAATAAAACACTAACCTGAAAGTTGATAGTGGATGTCACTATGCGCATGGATTCGGCATAATTCCTCAACACGGAGTCCGTCGCGAGGCAACTCTGTCGCCACTCGTAGAGTTGCTCCAGACGACCCACGCACCGCTCGCAGATCTTCTTCGGTAGAAAGTCGTCCTTGGAAATCTGCTGGATGGACGGTAATATCACTAATTAGACTATCTGAACCACAATATCGACATTCGAATTACTGAAGGCGGCTTAGAAATGAGAAATACCATATAAGATATGGTCAATAAAAGAGTCCTTGAACCTCAGGAATGAGGAAACGATACTCAAAGAGAAAGAAAGAGAGAAAGATAGACTTTTTGGGACAAAAGATCATTCTTTGTTGGATAATATTGTATAGCCATAAAATTCGCATTAATTAAATACTACGGAAATCTCAACCAGTTTAGTTTTAATGAATCACAATGTTTTTAAGCTTAGTGTTACATAATTACAGCTCTGAGCTTTATTGATTTAAAATATGTATTAAAAGTGTATAAGGTTTGCTAGTGGCCATTAAATACTTTTAGCTTTCCTTTACATTATTTAAAAGAAGCAAGAAGCAAAGCAAAGAATATATTGGAATCGATGTAAACATTTTTAAGTTATACAAATCAAATAATTGTATCTTTTCTGTTGCAATATTCTCTTTGTAATCGTAAAAAATAAAAAATCTACGCGCAAACGGTAAAAGTTAGTAAAACTATATTTTCTTATTATAAGATGCGCCATTTTCTTTTGCTCTACATCCATAAGAGGCTAAACATAAATCTGGAAGTTATTCAACAGGTATCGTGGGTTGATTAGCGCGGGTGTTGTCAGCCACCAACGTAGCGCCGCGTAGCGCCACGTAGAGCGCACGCGCTACACCGCTACGGTCACTCGACGCGACACTCGCTAGTGATATCATTGCACTTTGCTCTCAAATCCTCTGTTTTTACATACTATATATGCCACCTAATTTGTATTTTTTTATTCGTTAGCTTAATTAGGACAGGTAAGTAGCAAAAAAATTAAATACAACTCACCATAGTGGGCAAACAGGTCCGCAGTTTGAAAAGGATCTGTCTCTGCTCAGACTCCTTATCGAAGATATGGAGCCTTGGGCCGCTCTTGAGCGAGCACAACCGGCAGAGGTCGGTGAACGCTGTGAAGTTGAGGTCCTCGGGCTCGGTCATGGCGAAGCACCTGATGAGGAGGTCGAGAAGGCAGGAGTTGTCCATGTGTACGGCGATGTCGGGTGGCGGGAGACGGTCAGCGACGCATG